CGCGCCGCGCCGGCCGCCGTCAGACGTGCCGGACAAGGACAAGAAAAGTGTGGCGTGTAGCCCTCTCGCTTTCGATTTCTGCTTCACCGAGAACAAAGGGCCGCGCAGTCTATCTTATAAGTCTATGGTTTAAGGCTTACAACATCTATTGTGTTTCGAGACTAAGGGGAGGATCCCGATTGGACACAGCCATTCATAGCGTCCGGTGCCTAGAGGCTTTCTAGTTTCAAGCGCTGTGATTGGCTAACATGGTCAATCGGGTGCCACCACTGTCATCCGGGACTAAGGCCTGTTCTACAATATGTCGTATGTCGGGTCATAAGCCGTAAGCCGTAAGAATTGACCAATTACAATCGAATATTCTTCTTACATTCAATTGTGATTGGTCAATTCTTACGACTTACGATTTACAACCCGACATACGACGTATTGTAGAACAGGCCTAAGGATCGGATCTACAATACGTCGTATGTCGGATCGTAAGCCGTAAGCCGTAAAAACTGACCAGTCACAATTGAATGTTCTTCTTACATTTGACTGTGATTGGTCAATTCTTACGGCTTACGACTAACCGGACATACGATTGTAGAACGGGCCTAAGGATCCAGCTTAAGATACACGAGAGTATTCGGGCGGAGAGTATTTCGGGTGACGTTTCCGAACGCAGCCGAAGTTAACCGGTATTGATAATCGGCCTGTTTGAAATTTAACGTCTTTCTGTATATACCGTACGGTATCAACAGCTGCGAGGCCTGCGAGTTTGGCGGGATTGCTGGGAGTCTTTTGTGGTCTTTTGTATGTGCGTCCATGATATCGTGTGATGTGAGAGCTCTGTAAAATTTTCTCAGAACACATTCCATGTGGTAGGTCTCCTAGGTGTTGAGAAATCGCATTAAAAGTGAGTACGAGTCTCTGATAAACTTGTGAAAATAGATGCTTTAAGCATGTTGCAGTTGAACGGTAGCAATATTTGTGCAATAATCTTTCCTTTTTCAAAAAAATTAGTAAATTTTTTTATTTTTTATTTTTCTGTATTGTCACAAAAATGTTCCTTTAGAGAGGATAACACATGTAGTAATAATAATAATAATAATAATATGTTTGATTTTTATAATAATGGATGATTGTGAATATTTCTCTATCATTTAGATTTTAACTTCTTTTGCTCTTTTTTTTGCCAACGGATTTGGTTTATTTTTTTTAAATTGAAACATACGTAAACTGGAATCTTCATCTGAGATTTTTTTACAATCATTGAAAGTTTTGTATGTATGTATGTACATTCATTATCTCATGAAAAATTTAAAACGAATATTTGATATTTTATGGAATACTAGCTGTGAACACACTGTGCATTTATGACAACCTATAGGTATATTCTATATTTGATCTAAACATGATAAATAAACTGTTTATACCGTCGCGATTTTCATGATCGAATTTTATATGAATGTAATAACCATGGTTAAATATCAAATAATGATACGAGATAGGAATGATGACATTAGCTACATTATGCTATGTCCTTCCTAATATTAAATTTAACATTTTTACTGCAGATGTGTGACGATACTGTTCGTGTTGCTCTACGTATCCGTCCATTAGTAGAAAACGAGATAGAAAAAGGATGTCAAATGTGCTTAGATGCTATATCTGGAGAACAAGTTCGCATATGCAATACTGACAAAGCGTTCACGTACAATTATGTATTTCCTCCTCACATTGGACAGGAAGATTTTTATAATACAGCGATTAAACGACTCGTAGATAATATTTTTCAAGGTAAATATTTTTTATTTTGACATTGTCTTTTAAATTCGCCATACTTTTTAGAACAATATCCTTGTGTTACATTAAACCATTTTTTTTTTCACAGGCTATAATGTTACAATATTGGCATATGGTCAGACTGGAAGTGGCAAAACCCATTCCATGGGTACTAATTATACAGGTGTGGGAGAGAAGGGTATTATACCAAGAGTTATATATGATATATTTGAAATAATTAAATCCAAGGAAGATTGGAGCTTTAAAGTTGCAGTCTCATTTATGGAATTGTATCAGGAACAATTGTATGACCTTTTATCTGACAAGCAGAAAAGTCAATCCATCGTAGATATCAGAGAGGATGGTAAAAGCATAAAAATTGTCGGTGTGACCGAGAAACAGGTTAAAGATGCTCAAGAGACCTTAGAGTTCTTAGCCCAAGGTTCTATAGGTCGCGTTACAGGCGCGACTGCAATGAACGCGCATAGTAGTCGTAGTCATGCAATATTTACGTTATGTATACGCCAGCAAAAGAGAGATGATCCGTGAGTGATTCTTAATTTCTAATCTTATCAGCAATATCCTTTCTCTCTCTCTCTCTCTCTCTCTCTCTCCCCCCCCCTCTCTCTTCTGTTGCCAAATTTGTGAAATATAATAGAAATAATGGAAAAATAACTAATATTCAACTTTTCAAGCAGGAATACAGCAACAGTGGCAAAATTTCATCTGGTTGATTTAGCGGGGTCCGAACGTAGTAAAAAAACTCAAGCCACTGGAGAACGGTTTAAGGAAGGTGTGAATATAAACAAGGGATTATTGGCTTTGGGCAATGTTATTTCGCAACTCGGTGATGGTGCCTCTGGACTTACTTATATCGGATATAGAGACAGTAAACTTACGAGATTGTTGCAAGATTCCTTAGGTGGTAACTCCATGACTCTTATGGTCGCCTGCGTCAGTCCTGCTGGTTGGTATTCACACACTTCTACGTAGTGCTTGTGTGTATGTCCAACTACATACAAGATATATAGGCTGCGTCTACTCGTATATTTTAACGTATTTCAACACATTTCATATATAATTTATATATATGAAAAATCTATTTGTAGACTATAACTTGGACGAAACTCTTAGTACGTTGAGATATGCGGATCGCGCGCGCAAGATCAAGAATAAACCAATTGTGAATCAAGATCCGAAAGTAGCAGAAATCAATCGGTTGAACAAATTAGTTCAAGAACTGCGGATGGCTCTTATGAATCAGGAACTGGGCATAACATGTCCTAAGGAACACGAGGCACTCGAGGAGAAATACAGCGTGTTACAGCAAAAGTTTCGTGATATGACTGAAAAATTGAATTCAAATTTAGGAGAAATCGTAGTTATGCACGAACGAGCGGAGATGGCCGAACAAGCTCGGGAAAAAATCCGATTTGCTATGTCGTTATTGCTCGATGAATTCAAACAAATCGTACAAGATTTTGATTCTTGTCCTGAAATCGACGATGAGAAGCGTAATAAATTGAAAGCGATATACAAAAGAATGTTGGGTAAGCTTTTCTGTCGTGTAAACGTTGCGTTATGTTAAATACTTTTTCGCATTTTCATAAACTTTGGTGTGTTTAGCCGTGTTAATTCGATCGTATTTATTTTATATAGATATCCAAAGTAATGAAAGGAAAGCATCTGAGGAACTTATAAATCATGAAATATCCAACTCCAAACATTGTATCACGCACACGGAAAATTTAGTAGAATGTGTACGTGCAGAGGAATTGAACGACGTCGAAGACAGTTTGGATTATTTTGATAAAAAGGAAGAGGAACATACATTGCGGCAAGCGGAGCGAAATAACGAGGTACAAATTATTAATAAGGAGCTGGCACTCAAAGAAAGCCTCGTATCGGAACTCTTGAAAAATATCACGCAACAAACCGCTGAAAGTCATAAGAATGTCGTAGAGATGGAACAAGAAATCAAACGGCTACATGCGGAAAAAGAGGAACATTTACAAGCAGTGCGTACACATGACATCAGCTCCAAGTAAGTTGACTTGCGTGCAAGATTAAATTCTGTAAATTCTACACTTACACTTTAATCCCTCATAAAGTGTGGATGGAGTGAGATTGAAAATTGAGATATATGTGGAATTGAACCTGAGACCTACCGATTAAGAGAGTCAACCTCTATCGTAGCGTGCCATGCGAGCCATGTGTCGCCACATGTTATTGAATTTGTGAATTTGAGATTGGTCCTAAAATACTATATATATATATATATATATGTATAGTAAAATGGGATCTACAACAGGATTCGTAAGCAGCCGTAGGAAATTGACCAAATCACAATCAAATATGAGGAGAATAATTGACTGTGGATTGGTCAATTTCCTACAACTTACGACTGCTTATTACACTCTTATTATTGGACTCCACATTAAGTCTTTTGCTCTAAGAACTCTAAATTATGACGGGTTTTTTTTTTGGTATTTTAAGCCACAATCCCCGTAAACTTTAAGTAAGCTGGCCAGATCTCAACTAAAGTTTATAATAATTTTATTAAATTCCAAACATTAAGCTATAAGAATATTTACTATTAATATAATAAATATTCCAACTTAGAGTTTAGAATAAAAAAAGGCTTATTACACTTACTTAGACTATATGAATCTAATTCTTTATTTGAATCTCTGTACAGATTGGCTGAGAAGCGTCGTAAACAAGTACAAGAATTGGAAAAAAAGATAGCGGAATTGACGCGCAGATGCACAGAACAGAACAAGATAATCAAGACAAAAGAGAAACAAGATCATAGAATTAAGACTCTCGCCAGTGAGATACAATCACTAAAAGAAACTCGAGTCAAGTTAATCAGACAGATGCGCACTGATGCAAATAATTTTACAAAGTGGAAACAATCCAAGGAAAAGGAAATTAATAAATTAAGAACGCAGGATCGTAAACGTGCTTACGAAATGGTACGAATGAAAATAGAACATAATAAACAGGAGAATGTTTTTAAGAGAAAAATGGAGGAGGCTTTTGCAGTTAACAAAAGACTAAAGGTACGTTTCTTTGACGACATTATCTAATAGGCGTGGTTTCATTATTATTTGTTATTATTATTAGTACTTAATTTACATTTTGTTATTACGCGATCTATTAATAATAAGCTAAGCGATTTATGTACAGGGTGCATTGGAGATGCAGAAGAAGGCGATGCAACGACAAGAAAGAAAGGCCAATAGCAAAGAAGAGATAAAAACTTGGATAGCGCAAGAATTGGAAATATTAATGGCTACCGTAGAGGCGGATTATTCTCTTGAAAAACTAATGCAAGATAGAGCCTCCTTGGTACATCAATTGGAGCAATTTAAAGAAAACAGCGATCCGGATGAGAAGGAACTTCTGACTATTACCGAATTCATAGAATTACGTAACATGCAAATTGCAGATCTGCAACAAAAGATACTGGAGTCAGATCAGGGTAAGATGTCTAAAATTAAGAATCCAGAGCAAGCGCGGCAATCCACCAATAAATTTTTTTTCTCTAGAAACAAGAGCAAGTACTAGGTGGAATATGATACGTACAATAACTGATGCAAAGATAGCATTTGAAACGGCATTTCATATAGTTACACAAGACAGGAAGCAACAATGTTACAAATATAACGAATTGAAAGTTAGTATATTGTAGACACACACACACACACACACACACACACACACACACACACACACACACACACACACACACACACACAAAATAAGAATTAATTATACAAAAATAACTGATATTTTAGGAAAAGTGTCAGAATTTAGAAGCGCAACTAGAAGAATATACAAAACAGGAGACAGTAAATAAAATATCTTGTCCGCAAGACATATCTGACACATCTAGCAATACTGAAAAATCTTTGACAAAATCTATAAAAACACAGGTATAATTAAAAGTAAAAATTCTATTAAAAGTAACGTAAAAAAATAGACATGCTCCGTCAGTTTACTGTAAACAAAATGATATTATCATATTATTATATATTGTTATCATTATGTGTTTTAGGTTTTGACAGAGAATTTGAATGAAAATAAAAAATCATCGTCTAAGAAAAGAAAGGCGGAAAGTAAAATAGAAGAAATAATCGACGAGAATGCTTACCTATCGCATGATGATAGTTCAATAATGGAGGACAATGTCGACAAAGATCCAGACTGGAAAAAGACACCACTTTATAGTCGCATACAAAAGTTACAGGTAATTTTTTGTTACAGAAACTCTTAATTACGATAAATGTTACAATTGTTATAAGTATCTCTAATTGTAAATAGTAGTATTTTTTTTATTTCTATTAGCCTCATTTTGTCTCATCAAGTTTTTATCATGCTGTTATCATGTAGACAAGTGCAAAACATAAAAAAAGCTACATAATCTGAACGAATTGAACGAAATTATTGAAATTTTAATAAATATCTTCTTTATTTAGAATAAATCGAAACTCTCGATTCAACGATTGACCTTTAATATAGACCCTAATGAGAGCCTGATAAAATGTGCTTGTAAAACGAAATGTGTTACGCGGATATGTACGTGTCGTAAGAATAACGTAACTTGCAACAATTGTAGCTGTGATTCAGAACAATGTCAGAATAGAAACGAAGAGAATGTAAGTATCGCATTACTATATAATATATAACATATATCGCGTGCGTGCGTGCGTGCGTGCGTGCGTGTGTGTGTGTGTATCTATATCAATTCTTACGTATTTTTTTTTTTCCAGTTGCGTACTACACTGTTTTCAGATGTTGCAACATCAGATGAAGCGAGATACGATTAGAGAAAAGACAAATTATTTTTTTTTTCAATTATGCATAAAAAGTTACATTTACTTCATGATATCGTATTCAATCGAAATATTGTATGTACATATTCCAATTTTTCGTATCGCTTTATTATAGATATTTATTTTGGCTTTTTATATTTTGGCATAAACATGATAATTACAGATTAATTGTATAGGAAGGATAATTTGTTTACATTTTATATTTCGTACAATTGACATCGACCACTTGGAATTCTTAGAAATTGTAATACTGCATATATGTAAACAATATTCAGTTATTAATCTTATAATCGAAAGTGTTTCGAGATCGTCAAAAATTTATGTAAAATACGCGAACAAATCAAAAGGGCAGTATAGCGTCATAAGGAAATTTGCTTACATTTTTATCGATCTGACTGACCAAAATGATATGTTACTGACAGAGTGAAAAAATATTAAAATATGAGCAAGTCAAAACGGTGCTATAGCGCCATGAGGAATTGAGAGGGAGAGAGAGAGAGAGAGAGAGAGAGATACAATAAATAATAAATTTATTTAAATTGCAAATCCTTTTTAATCACACTATGTCTTTATACTTACAATATTATATCAGCGATTTTATAAGAGAAAATTGTTAAAGAAAAACTCAAGCTCTTACGAATAGATCGCGGATGGCAATTCAGAGTGCTTAAACAGTGATGCAAACCGACACAAGTTGTTTTGTTTTTGTTACTAAATGCTAAGAAGGATAGAATGATGCATGACGTTTGTGTCGACTTCACATGACTTGTGTCACTAAATGAAAATCACTCTTATATGAATAATATGAATATCAGCATAGAGGATCCTGAGAGAGGACTGACGGCCTTTGCATGTAATGGCAAAATGTCCTCTTATGTATGTACATACATACATACATACGTGTCCGTGCTAAATTCATTTTTCAAAATTGTTAGGGCTTTATTCTTGAAAAATTTGCAAAAATACGGAAATATACTTTGGAATGCGTAATTTTTCGAGAATAAAGCCCCAGCAGTCTCGAAAAGTGGATTTAGCACGGACACACACCATAAATTATATCCGCGGTGCAGGAAAGTGGATTTTTTAATATAGTTTACATCCATTTCTTCAGAGGACGTTAGTGCACGAGGACATTTTGCAGCCAGTTTGGCTTTACGCGTCAAAGATGTCGTGTCGATCGGATCGACTAATCGAGGATTGGTTGAGGCAGAAGAGGGTTTGAACGCGGGTGAGGTTAAATCACAAGATCTCTCTCTCTCTCTCTCTCTCTCTCTCTCTCTCTCTCTCTTTCTATATATATATATTAAAAGTCCGTAGGTGAAGTGGTTGAACTGTGGACTGTGGCGGGTGGCCGAGTCAGTCGAGTGTGGTGGCCGACTGTGGCTGTCGTCGGTCGTCGAGGGGTCGACGCCGTCGACGGAACAATCCGAACGATCAGTATCCATCGGTAAATTGGTATTTATTTATTGTACTGATCGATATTCGTGGGCACTCTCAGCGTTCGCTGCGAACGGGGAGTTGTAGGCTAACAATAAGCAAATAAGCAAACGAGTGAATGGGTGGGCGGGAAAGGTGCATTCGCGAAGCCAACAGAGTGAACAGAGGCCAACTGTTTTAGACGCAACGTAGACGTGTTCAGACGTGCACTGGTGGTGTGCAGGCTTCTCGACGTCGTTTTCAAAACAGATAGCAAATTGGCGGCTCGTCTCCTGCACTTGTCAATCGATGTCGAACGTAAATTGTTACAAGTTTAGCAATATGCGATGGAAGACGCAGCTTCTCCGGCAGCTGTTACGCCGTCGTTAACCACATTATCCAAGAAACCCGTCGGATATCCGTCGGAATATCGACATTCTCAACTTTACCAAATTTTTCCACCATTCATATAAAGTCATGGACGGTACCTGCCTTCATCAGTTGGTCGCAGCACCCATAAAAAATTTCCTGCAACTACAACGGATCAAAGAGTAAGACAAAGACAAAAGAGTACAAATCGTATTAATTGCGCCAATAATTTTGAAAAAATGTACTTAATAAAAAATCCTCAATTTTTTAAATGTCTGAAATTCAGACGAGCCGCCTGTAGGCAACACGAACTACTGTCTCTTTCTAGAGATATCTAGTTTTTTAGTTTGATTCGTGCCATTTTCTCATTCTAAAGAATTAGTTTTCCTTTAATGCTTGCTAGTTCATTATCTTATTAGATAATCCACACTCTGTTCCAATTTAATTTTTATTTTTATTATAGTTTTGCATTTTTTCATTCTTGGAATTTATCTGGTCGTTTAGCATGTAGCATCTGTTTATATGCAAAGTAATTTATGTGCATGCATGAATCGATAAATAAATGCATTATCAAATTGGTCAGTTATACATTAGATATTAATTGTATGTCTCTTGCATACGAGAGCTATAGCTGCAGTAAGCACGTTGCATCCAATGTACATATTCAATTATTGATTGATACAGTTATTATTAACCAAAGTTGCAAGAGCGCATTGTTGCGGTATCTTACTATTAGCCAATTGCCAGTTGCGGTACGGTTAGTACTCAAACGATAACTGATAAATGTACGTTATGCGCACATTTTGCTATAGTTGCATACTGATTGACAATTGAATTCTTTACTTTACAAGTACATATCTAGATGCATCTATCGTATAGTAAAATCTACTAGTTACATTTTGCAATACGTTAAGAAAAATTTAATATGCACTTAAAAATTATCTATAATCATATGTTTACATTATTATCTAATGAAACGAATGCGTTCAATTGCGTTTAGTTTTTTCACCTTAACCTTACAATCGTATGGCGTTATATGAGCTTAAAAGTGTGATTAAAAGTTATGCATGTATCAAAACCCTATGGTACATTGTGTAAACATTTTAACGGAATGCACTAGCACCGCTTGTAAGAGGATAGAAGATTGATATCTTCATGCAACATGAACGTACTCTCTGTGGACTATTCTACTGACATATGGATATGTGAAAAGAAATCTTGTGCCTGTAGCCTGGATTATTTGGTGGATTATAGGTTTCCATAGGTCTTCTTAAAGTAGTTGAGCAAGAAGGTATCTTAGTTGTGATATAACAATTTGTGTGCGTGTATCCTACTATATACATATGTCCTGTGTATACATATTTTTTATGCTTTTTCAAGATACTATGCACTTTGATATAATCCTAATGACATAATGGGATTTAAAATAAGCTAGCTTATACCAAAAGGTATTATATAATCATTTCATCTTTAATTTCTTTCTCTTTTCTTTTCCCCTCCCCCCTTTCTCTCTCTCTCTCTCTCTCTCTCTCTCTCTCACACACACACACACACACACACACACACACACACACACACACACACACACACACACACACACATCACACACTCATGCCTTTATTTTACTCTACTACTACTACTACTACTATTACTACTACTACTACTACTATTACTACTACTACTACTACTACTTCTGCTACACATGCATGCACACGCAATCTAATTACTTATAGTAATATAATAGCAAGTATACTTTAGAATTCCTTAATTTCATTATCTGCTTTGCACAGACTCGACTAGATATAAATTTCTTTTTATGTAATCTCTTGACAAATCTTTCATTTTATACAACAGCTGGTCATGTTTCATAATTTTTTATAAAAATTTTCTATTGCATTAGTGCCAATCACACTAAAATATATCGTACATATATTAATTGTGATGAAACAAATTGTTATTGATGACATTGTTAATTAGCTTTTAAAGTTATCAATGTTTCGAAATTTTACAAGTCTTTCTAACAATAGAATATAAACAATTGTATGATATTAAAAGATATTGTTTATAATTTTATTATATTTTTCAATAATTTAATATGCAATTTTATAAAATGTAGCATAGAATTTACAATAACACTGAAAAAGAAAGTGGAAACAATGTGTACACAGGCAAAATATGCAGATGTGAATATGTTTGCAGGATAAAGTGGATGAATCCACGAGCATGTACAAATGAGGCATATACTCCTACATCCATTGAACATATGGCAAATGTGGCAACTCATGGAATATGGGTTGTACCCTCGGTAATTGGTGGTATCGAACTTGTACGGCGTTCGTCAACATGGGCTCAGTTTGTTTCCGCTTGCGTATACGGCACTTCCTTGATCCTTGTCTTTGCAGTGTCAACTTTCTTCCACAGTGTACATTATTGCAATCATAACAGGTATTTTACGCAATTATTTAAGCATAATGCATATATATTATGTATAGTTTATTTCTTTCGCTCATTAATTAATTCTTTCTAATATTTTTTGCGTCCCGTAAGATATAGTAAGGTTTATATCTTCTAACAAGACATTCATCGCACATAATATAATATTTTAGACAACTAAAAGATGCATTGCATCGTTGCGATCGTGCTATGATTTACATCTTCATAGCAGCCAGTTACTTTCCATGGTTAAATATAGAACATTTCTCAGACGATGATCTGTTATTCGCGATGCGATATGTCGTCTGGATCATGGCTATAATGGGTATCCTTTACCAGCAGATCTTTCACGAAAAATACAAGATGCTCGAAACTATTTTCTACGTAGTTATGGGTATTGGACCTAGCGTCGCGATCCTTAATGTTGTAAGTAAAGCAACATTGTGTCTTGTTATTCGGATTATTCATATTAAATTTTAGAAGAGCATGAAAGCACCTGGGAAGGGTTCTTCGATCGGTGGTTCATGCTCAACAACAAAATATATTTTATGTAATTTCAAATGATTTTAAGCTAATTTTAATAAAAGTACAAGAGTGTAAGTGTCGAATAATTTACGATAAATATATTTTTGCAGTATAACTATTACAATATTACGGAATTGAAACTGGGTGGACTGATATACGTTCTTGGCTTAGTATTTTTCAAATCGGATGGTCGTATACCTTGCGCGCACGCAATCTGGCATCTTTTCGTAGCTGCGGCCGCTGGATTTCATTATTACGCGATTCTGAACCATGTATTTCCTGACAATGAGACAGACTCGACGAATGTTCTTGGACCATCTGGCAGCATGCCACAATTATCTAATATATTAAAGCCTCATATAGAGTTGTAGGAGTTGTATACTATTTTTTACAATATTTCTTCCAAATGCTAAAGATTCTAAAATGTTTTAAAGTTTTTAAGGATGAACTCTGTTCTCTCTCTTTCTCTCTCTCTCTTTCTTTCCCCCCCTCTCTCTCTCTCTCTCTCTCTCTCTCTCTCTGTACATTTCCATTTTTCCGATAGAAGGTTATCTTTTATTTACGTCTATTCAGAATTTTGATAAGAACAAATTGATTTTTTAATCATGATTCGTATATCTGTGCTCGACAACTAGACATTGTTTTATAATTATTTTAAATGTCAATGAACAAGAATAGTTGTATATAAATATATAAATATATAAAAAAGCGTAGTGAGAATTGCGAATTGAGAAGAAAGGAAAAAAGAAAAGATTTTTAAGTACCTGACGGCCATACAAGACTCCATTCATATATTATGAATGTGTTATATACTAGAGTAAAAAAAAGTATATCTAATATTACGTTAGCGGAAATATTAATATGACTCATTGTCAGTTATTGCTAATTTTACATGACGAGTTGAATATATATCTATAGCGAATATTGTATTTTTCACATTCGATCAGATTTAGTATCAGATTTAGTTTCGCTAAACCATTCATTGCTCGTGAATAATCGCCAAATTATCGTAAGAAAGAAAATTTTTTTCATGCTTGTACTTTTCCAAATACAGATGGAATATTTTTGGGAAAAACATTATTTTATTTTACATTGTATAAGTTTGATAAAAGTTTCTATATTAGAATTTTTATAAAGTGTAGATGTTAAGCTCTTAGTTTAGCATTGATAAATGGGGAATAAATCACGTTAACTAAATACACATTTTTATTTTCTACTAAGAGCATCTTTCTGTTTGCGTATAATATTGTGCCAAAATTCAATTAAATAGTATACTATACTCACGCGTCTTAGAATTTCCAACGAGCTGTCAAAATTTTTTTGAAAGAAAAAAGAAATGAATATTATTTTAATCGTGCATATTGCGCAAATATTTTAGTTACTTTAGTTAAAGTTACGGAGTGTTTTTTCTGAAATATAGCATGTTGAGCAATAGCCTTATTTCGTTACTTAGATTTTGGAACGATATTACATGTAATTTAATGAATGATATTACATCTAATAAAATCAGGTTTTACAATTATGGTACTTATTGTGTAACAGTAAAAAATTATATGATATGTTTATATCGTAGAATAATTTGTCTGCGTCTATAAAAAAAAATATACAAAACAATGTAATTTGTACTTCCTTACACACACACACGCACACACACACACACACACACACACACATCAATTGTATATTTAAAATTAATATATGTATAGTAATAGGGGCAATACTTGTATGTACTTGTACGTATATAGCGTATGTAATGTGTATGTGTACATATACAAACGTGCATACATATATGTCCAAATAATATATATGTATGTAGGTATGTATATAGAATATATAGTATTAACAATGTAAAATGTTATTACTAAAGTTTTGATGTAACGAGGATATTATAATTTGCGATGTATACATATACCGTGATATCGCAAGGAGCAAAGTACAAAATGATTATCTGCAGTTATGTTACAAGTTGTTCGTTGTCTATTATTTTTGTTATTAGGAATTTCGTGGACCAAAGTATCGTGGAGTAACATATATAGCATCTCATTGATATATACTTCCTGATATGAATGTAATACCTACTTATTGTTAGTGAAAAATAAACCGTTATATATTGGCCAAAAATTACTTATTTGGTAAAATTGGTCTACTATGCGCGCACGCGTATTATAACCATTACAGCAGTGACTGCGTTCCGTTAATCATTGCGAGTACTGAAAACTATAGTTTACGTTAGTTTACGTATACTATAGATTTTTAGTACTCGCGATGAATAACGGAATGCAGTCAGTATAGGCTACTATAGGCTTCTATTATCAAAAGAGTTTCCATGGTGACAACAGCAAACAAAGCGAAAATCGAACGAGTCGACAATGGATAAGTATTTCTGACCGGTCGTTATCACGGTCTTCAACAATTAATTGAGCAATCTGGAATCTGTGCAACGCAGTCATGAAAATTAATATGCGTACATTTTTCGAACGTGAAAAAAAATTGCAATTAACATTTTTTTCGATAAAGTAATAAAGTTTATATGTGTGATTCATTTGGCGAACCATTATTATCATATTATCATAAAAGTGTTTGCGTTCTAACGTACGACGACGATATTATTAGCGACGAAACAAAAAAATAAAATATGGATAATGTAACATATAATAAGGCGGAAAATAAAACTGCATTCTTGGCTACCAACGCGCTTAAAACACCATCGTGGTTGCTGGAGATGACCGAGTATGTAATATTATTTTACACATTACTTTTCATCTTTTTAAGAGTGAACATGGCATTGTTTTCCACATTTCTTTTTATTCTCGTCTTTTATTTTTTTATATCAGCAATATAGAAAAAATTAATATAAATAACGATGCCAAATCGCTGCAAATGGAAACATTTTTAACAATCGATGAGCAGCATGATTTTAAGAATATTACCATCAAGGAAAGTGACGATAAGTAAGATATTTATGTATAATATTTTGTAACAGTATTTCCTCAACAAAGATGTATCTACACGCACATACACGCGCGCGTACGCGTACGCACACTACACACACACACACACACACACACGTGCGCGCGCAAATAAATTTTACATATATGTAATAGAATTGAATTTATTCACTTCAGCATACATTAAGCCAAGAAGGGGATAATATTATTGGTTTATAATAAATATCTATCACACAACAGCGTACGTGTGCGTGTGTGTGTGTGTGTGTGTATTACGTTTTATTTTGATATTTTTATAGAAACAATCAACCTAGCAGCTATCAATCAAGCTTAAGCGATCTTTATTTCGATAGTAATATTAAATTACAAACATCTACGAGCAAATCACTGCCAAATACACCAAAGAATGAACAAGTACAAGTTAAACGGAGAAAAATGCGCGCTTGTTCTGCTGTTGTAAATGCAAAGCATCGTACAAAGGATGATTTTCATGGATTGGATGCATACTTGGAAAGAAAGCAGATGGAAAAGCAGGGCACGTACTTGACATCCGAAAATTATAGCAACGATAAGACTCCCTATGAGGAATCTTATTTTGAATATCGAATATCAAATATCTCGAATCATGCAGATTTGCGATTGCATTTCCCAGATGACAATTATCTCGACAGTTCTGCATTTAGTGCTGCACAGAACGAAGGAAAGCCGAAATTATCTGGTCAATATCAACAAACTTTTTTTAAATCTCTCATCTTGAAAACAATTTTGTTAAATTTAATTATTACATATTAAATTATAATTGTCTGCTAATAATAATTTAAGTTGACATCTATCTTGAAATCTTACATGCGTTTTCACGTAAATCTTATATATGCTAGAAACATTGCAACAATAGAATATTAATGTGTTGTCTGCCCAGCGATTGAGTATATGCGCATCTCATTTATTGTACGCTTAATGAATTTTTATTATCATATAATTCAGGATATTGTGATAAAATATTGTGTAATATACGTATGGTTAAGTAGATATAGTATATCTCGCCTCATGGCAGTTGAATATATCGTGTTGAATAGTCGTATTGTATTGCATTTTTTATTTTACATTACCATTCATTGCTATTTCTGTCATTTGAAATTTTATATTTATATTTACTTTTTACGTAAGATTTAAAGCTTTACAAGATTCGATCTCAATAACGCCAATCACGGCACGATTAGCATGGCAGTCAACATGTTAAATATACTTATAATACTCGTACATTGTTTTGCATTTTGATAATACGAAAAACGAATAATTTAGTTTGCATTACTTTTAGATAAAATTTACAGAAATTTTATTATTCCTGAACTTCCATCCGGAGATTCGTTGGTCATTGATATTCTCTCTACTTGGGGCGACAAACATTACGTAGGCCTCAATGGTATTGAAATTTTTTCAAATACCGGAGAACCAGCCAGAATAAAAGAGATACGTGCACATACGACAATTAATCAACCATTGAACAATGATCGTAATCCTTATATTATAAACAATTTAATTAACGGCATTAATCGAACGAGAGACGATGCAAATTTATGGCTAACACCTTATTCAAATGGTGACCATCATTATGTTTACATGATATTTGAATTTACAATTACAATAGCAATGATCAGAATATGGGTAAGATTCCTTATCTATTTTATGATAATTTCATAAAATAGTCTAGGCTTTGTAGAAATTGTGTGTGTGTGTGTATGTGTGTATGTGCGTGTGTGTGGTGTGCAAGTGTAAAGGTACACTCCACCTGAAATCACCTGCCTTCTTTTTTCAGAACTATAATAAATCCAGAATACATTCCTTTCGAGGAGCTAAAGACGTTATTATTAAATTGAATGATATTATCATTTTTTACGGAGAAATTGCTAAAGCTTCAGGGGATGACATCGGTAGCCTCGATTCTTTTGGAGATGTAAGAATTAAATTTTGTCAAATAAATATCGCAGTATATTATAACTATATACAAGTAAACAGTACAAATAATATAAATGTTTTCTATTATGGGAAACTGAACAGGTTAATGTAGAATGTAGAATGTCTATTAAATTAACGGCCGTTTATTCTTACAATTAGTATCTACTTGTTTTATCACACATAATAAATTTTGATTAATTTTATTTTGTACGTAATGTACAAAAATATTGGCTGATGTAGACTATATTATTTACGACGGACGAAAATATTCTGGAATTGATATCAAAACATGATAATACATTCATAGAACTCAATAATGGGATGTCAGATTATGAAGAGAAAGAAATAATTCGTCCGATAACAGCAACGACGATTAATGACGTAAGAAAAAGCTAATTGTATTAATAATTTAATAATGTTATAATATACTAGATAATATTATATATAATACGCGCGCACGTAATAAATGGATAATGAGAAGAAATCTTTTTAGATTATTTCAGCGAGACGTAATGATAATAGTAATGATTCCATTGAGAATCTTTCTCCTAACGCATATATCAATAGCAGAATTTACGATCCCCTTACCGCCGCTATATCTTGCAGAGAGATTCAATTAATTATCATTTCTAATTGGGGTTTACAACATTTGGTTGGTAAGTAGCGTAAATCTCATCAGTTGATACATTAAATAGCATTACATTACAATTAATAATCTGTGCGCACGTTAATTAGCATCTTTTTTCGGGTTTTTGTAGGCCTTACCGGTATAGAATTAATTGGGGATCAAGGTATAGCGATTCCGTTAGTAAACGCCAACTTGCATTGTAACGTGGTTGATGCGCGAGATTTAACGAGACTGATCGATGGACACAATGTTACAACCGAAATGGATTACATGTGGCTAACGGATCAAACGTTAAATAAGAGCATTACGATTACTGTTACTTTCGATACGGATGTATACCTAACAGGAATGCGGATTTGGAATTACAATGCATCCCTGGAGTTGTCTTATTGTGGAGTAAGAATGCGTTCGAAAGAAAACATTGCAATGATCGCGCAACGATTAATTAAACGAGAGATTCTACTTGCACAGGTAAAAGAGTTGTTAATTAAATTAGACGGTAAACAGCTACATGACGAGAATTCTGATGGCTTCCTGTTAAGACGCGCGCCAGGATCTTGCCATTATGATTTTGTCCAAGAAATTAGTTTTCTTCATCCACCTACTCGAGAACACTTTACGGATCGTATCACCAATCCAATTAAATCGCCTGAAGGTACGGTGTGTGCGCGTGTGCGTGCGTGTGATATATATGTCATTCAGAGATGGCATGTGAAGCAAGCAAGATAGAAGCACATAGTATGTACATACATACGCGTACGCGTATGTGTACGTATAATGCTCATACTACACCCATAACTTTTAGAACTTGAGTCTTTGGATTCCAATTACGAAGCTCCGTCGATGCCACGAGGATTTGTTTATCAAATAATAATTTTCTCTACGTGGGGTGACTCCTACTATGTTGGCCTCAATGGGATACAAATATATGACAATTATGGAAACGAAATCAAATTAACCACAGATAGTCAGTTTATACAAAACTCTGTGAAAGCGCGCACGTTTAATCATATAAACTTAATTTTATGCATTTTCTGCTTTAAAAAAAAAAAAAAAAAGTTTTAATCATAATTTACATTTGTTAAGTACCTCCGATCTATTTATTGCCAATCTTGCTTAATGCCGATTATATTTTGCTAGATGTAGCCGCATTTCCCGAAAGCGTTAACATAATAGAAGGAATAGATAACGACATTCGTACACCGGACAAACTTATCGATGGGATAAATGATACTCGAGACGGACGGCATGCCTGGCTAGCTCCTATACTTCCTGGACAAGTAAGCGAAAGCGAACAAGATAACAATCAATTACTCTCTTCAATTACTCTTTAATACTTGAGATGCATTTCTCAGACAAATCGTGTGTATTTAATATTTTATCATCCTATTATGGTATCTATGATCAAAATCTGGAATTATGGGAAAACCTCACAAAGGAGAGTTAAAGAATTTGCCGTAAGAGAAATAAATTTCATTAATACAAAAATATATTCACTGATAATTCTCCAATTTGCTCCAACTATACTAAAATTATTTGTTGCTTATAGATACTAGTAGACGACTTGCTAGTTTACAATGGAACGCTAGATAAACATAATTTGTACGGATTAGTAACGTTTGTAAAGGAAAGCAGCAATGAGAATCTGGTGAATCGGTAAGTCGCAAGAGCAATGCATACATTTATCAACAAAAATACAAAAGAATTTGACAGTAATTGCATGTATATATTATACAATTGTAGCTCGGAGCAAGAAGGTTGTCTTTTAAACTTGCAAAGAAATACCTCAGGTACTAATTCATTACCAGATCCATCCCTTCGGCCACATACATCTTTACAATTCAAATAATCGTAACGCTACAGATATATTTAACATATATAAAAATTGTATACCTATATATTTTTATACTTGCGGACTACTGATTGTGAGACTACTTTGAAACTTTTTCCACGTTTATATTAGGAAAATCCCGTTTAAACATCTAATTAACGACTACAATAGCATACATATATATAACAATGTATAATAATATCCATATATTGTCGTACGTTTTTGTAATAACCATCCCATATGAATGTCAGATATACAAATGTTGTTTATCTTATAAAAACAATAAAAAAGAATTATAAAGAGAGATTATAGGGGTGTATATGTGTGTGTGTGTGTGTATCTTTGATAGATTACAAGAACGAATAAAAAGATATGTATACATCAAATATATCACTCACGTCTTCGATATTTCATTTGCCTTATGCTCTCGAGTAAATTATGATGACACGAGATGACAAAGTTACGAGGGTATTATACTCGTGGTCTTTTTGTTTCTGTCAATGTAGAAATATCTACTTGGTCCATTCCCTCTTCTCCAGGTCCGGTACGCTTCCTCGCTTTCGGTGACGATTGTTTCAAACATTCCATATCGTTAAATATTACTTGTGCTCCGCCGCCACTTGTTGGCAGTATATCGCCCTATTTAAGAGAAAAAATAAAGTTGTAAAACTTTTGTATATTAATAATATTAATATAAAGATTGCATGAATGATATCTCTCTTCTATATACATAATAAATTACAAAACCTTATACAATATTGTTTCAAGTTCTCCGTCTGTATCATGCTCTTGCGCGACAAGACAGTATCTAGATGCACCATCCGTAATCTTTTTTGGAGAAGTAAGTTGCGTTACGCTCCGTCTTCTTTGCATCATTGGTTGCAATACAGTCCCGATTGGTACAAGAGGCTGAGATCTATGATCGATCCATCTATCGGCACTTTGCGATCGTCTATACCTTGGATTCGAAATGGGTATTCTATCCTACAGTGAGAAAACTTTTTTCTTTACTTTTTCTCTTGTGTGTGTGCATGTGTGTGTAGACATATATACAAAAATTTTTAAGTTGTATAATGGAGTATTTAAGAGAGAAGAAAATAATTGTGCATAACAGTTAACCTTTCGTGATACTCTATCTCTATTCGGAGTATCTCTATTCGGATTGACTACTCTCGTTGTCAATTCTGGAATTTGTTCTTTCGATGAGGCCACTGCAAGATTAATGCCATTGTCGTCAACTGAAATATGTCTTATCAATCGTAACCTATCGCCATTCTCCTTTATTTTATTCTAAATAAAAATATATTAAATTTTTAATTAAAAATATCTGTAAAAGTTAAAATTAAATATTAAATATAAAATTAGAATAATTACCTCAAAAAGTTCACGTTGTTGCTGTAGTTGTATTTTCATTTCTTTGCTCATTTTTTCCGTCTCAACTTTAAATTTTGTATTCAATCTCTGCTTCGCTCTTCGGTTATCTATCTCACGTAGATTTAATGCCAGATCTCGATCTTTCACCTATACGCGAACGTCACATATTATTTAAATTAATCTACAAGCATACAAGCAGATGCATGCGTGCACATATGCACACACACAATAGGTATAAATCAATATTGAACGCACTTCTTGCTGTAAATTTCGCACTGTTTCATTAGCATTATTTAATTTACACCGAAGATTATCGTTTTGTTTTTCTGCTTCGCAAAGATGACCTTGAAATGCCGATATCTGTTTTACTTGCTTTGTATTTGTAGCTTTCAACGAAGCTACTTCAATTCTTAAACTTGCATTTTCTTGCTCTATTCCCATTAATATCCGTCTAAAATCCTCTTCTATAAATAAAACGCATCTTATTATTACTATTACTATTGTAGCACATCGTTTGACTAATTGTAAGATAATTTTACAACTAAATATCTCACGTTTCTTTTGCAAATCCGCGCGAAGTATATTGCGCTTGTTGATACGTTGTTCCAAGTATTGTATTAAAGATTGTATTAACTGATCGTTATCTGAAGTAATAGTCTCGAATTGAGGAAATGGTCCGCCCAAACTGAAATAATATTTAAACGTTCGATTACATTATGCGGTAATTAAAAAAAAATAAAAAGGAGGAAAAGAATTTGAATATGTATAACTATGTTCAATCAATCGTTGAAATGTACCTGTACACTAGGCCTAGATCAATGTTCAAATCAGCTGCTTCCGGTCGGCCTTCTCTTTCTAATTTGCTTCTTGCTTCCTTGAATATCTGAAATAATAAAATTTATATTGACACGCATGAAAGCGCGTATGCGCGCGCACATTCCGAAATTATAAAATATTATTCGAGCTAGAGTTGCTACTTTATTCGCTTGTCTTCTGCCAGGAGTGAAACCGAGGTCCAATTTTACAGGATTAGATCTTGTGATATGCACTTCTTGAGTCATTTCGGCAAATTTCATGACTTGCTACATATTGAACATTAAAGAAATTAATAATTTATTTGTATCTCTTTGTCTTTATAGATATATATTTAACACCATCTTACTACGTACAATCGTTTCGTCATAATCATCCGCTCTCGGATTTACACAGACTATCATTCTGACCTGTCCTTCTCCATCAAAATAGTTTTTGAATAAATGTGTAAGCTTGGAATCTCGATAAGGTACCATTTTATTTGTACCCTGATTCTGATTCTCTCTCAAAATTTCCAAACACGACCGCAGAGTCATTAGAGAGTTATTAATGTTTCCTACAATTAAAATTACATGCTCGTTGTTCAAAGGCTTTCATATAAATTTCACAAGTACAACAAATGAAATGTCTTACCTGCTTCTCGTAAACGTTGACCGGTATTTTTAGTGCGATTCGTTCGCTCGCTACCCGCCAAGTCTACTAAAGATAATTGACTTACGCACACGACTCGTTTATCCTGCATCACAAGTTCGCCCTCGCAATCTAAAGGTGCCTAAAAATTGTGCAAGGAAATTAGAGACAATATAAGCGATTGCATTTTAAAATAACTCTGATGTATGTGTATGCGTATGATAACAAGTTATAAAAAAGTGTCACCTGTACAAGCCTGATGGTGAAAACACTGTGCGATCTACTCGACTCTGCATTCAATGCTGTATGCGCGACGCGTCTTTTCCGTTGTCCACGTTGAAATAGCTCAAAAGCTTCCTCTGCACTTTTCACTTCAACTTCCGTGACAGCATGTACATACATATTTTTGTTACCATCTTCCCTAACTATTTTACTTTGCAGTGTTCTACATTAAATAAAAGAAAAAGATAAATGAACAAAAGTACCACTCAGGTAATAAAACAAAAACAAAACAAAAAAACAAAAAAAATTGCAAAAATTTTTTCTCACGATATGTATTTACTTGGTTCTGATATCATCTTCATCCAACAAGTCATATACACTGTTGTTGTATATTTCAACATACGTGATAAATACAGCATATGCATTATCTGGTTCAACTGTCACGCTTTGTGATTCGTTACGTTCATGAGCTAGCGTTGGATTACTCTCTCCATCGCTGTCTATTTTACGACTGTTGAATGTTACTTCATAAGATATAATTCCATATTTTTGCAATTATATAAATAATCTAACTACGAGTAGAAATATTTATCTATTTATATAAGAGATAATTTCATTAGATGGATTAGAAAAAACTTACTGTTTGCCGAGTCTTGCTCTTTGTGATAGACCTGCGTGAAGTTCATGCTGCCTATCCAGCATGGCATCAGCCTCGCTTTGTATATCAAAACCGTTTAATTTATCTGGTTTAAAGACAAACTTTTTCGTTTGATAATTCGCAATAGTATTGAAAATAACATCCAAACACCGAGGCATAATACCAGCATCCTGTGGTTCCCCAGTCATTGTATACGTTTTACCACTACCTGTTACACCGTATGTAAACAAGAGACCATTTTTTCCATGAATAAGATTCTCAACAAGGGGAAGGGCAACAGTTTTAAATATCTCCCTCTGCGTCACATCGGACATAAATACATGACTGAATGTCGTTTGTATCTCCCTGTTAGTTATAGTACGAAAATTGGCTGCTGATTCCGGAGGCGTTATCACTACAGTCATATCAGATGTAACTCTCATGCACGATACATCCGTTGGAGATTGCATTGGCCGTAAACGACAATAAACTTGCACAGGATCTTTAGACATCATATTCGATCCCTTTGGCCGACCGATTGGCCGACGAGCTGGAGTTTTCGAACGTCTGGAACATACATTTTTCGCTTCTTATTTCGGTTTCTTAGCGTATTCATAAGCGTAGTATAGTTTAGGCCACTCATCGAGCAGCTTGAAGGCTTGAGGATAATTTTACAATATACTTACGCGGGCTTCATTGTTATATAAGTCAGTTCACTGTTTGTAACAATAAGTATCAATTAAATCAAGTTGAAATTATTGTAACAAATTGTACCGGTTATGACAGGCGTGCGTCAGTAAAAGATCGTTATGGTTTTTCAAATTGAAGCTTGATATAATAGATGCCACCACACGCGTTGGTATTCAGTTCCACCAACTTGAACCTGAATCTAAACTAAAGAGCTTCTAGATTATCAGAGAAGCGTGACCGGCTTATGGCAGTATCGCAAAAGTGCTAGAAAATATTAAAAATGTACTAAAAATGGAGTCGAATGGCCAATCATAAGATTAATTTAACGGTATTATAAATGCCTGCCGAATAAATCAATCTTATGATTGGCCATTTGACGCTATTTTTAGTACATTTTTAATATTTTCTAGTACTTTTACTGCGATACTGCCATAAGCCAGTCGCGCTTTTCTGATAATCTAGGACTCTAGCTCCCTTCTGTTACTTTTTACCTCCATGCTTCAACAGCCAGACATACAACCACATACCACATGGAGGAGTTGGTATTGATGTGTGTTGAGTAAAATTTAAATTTCATAATATATAAAATATTTTGCGCGTAGCATTTTGCTAAAAATAGCTTGATTTTATCAAATTTATTTTATTGCCATATGATTTTATCTTCTTCAGTGAATTAATCACAGCAAATGAAATTTGCATTCTGCAATATTTTCCATACTATATATATATATATACAAAACTTGGAACATATGAATATTCTCGCTGTGAGGAATGTTTTATCTTCTCTCCAAGCCTTCTTCACATAACGTTTCATCGTAGCTGGTATTATGAATGATATTTGTATATCTTGCTATGACTGATAATATTAAAGTAGTTTCAAGGCCGAAGGTTAGATTTTGTCAATTTTCTGACAATGCACGAAACAAAGTGGAGATTGTTGAACATTGTAAAAAACAATCTGCTCTGCAAGGGAATCGTCCAAGAATCAAGGAAATCATATCTCTTAAGAAACCCATCAGAGTTGTAGATGCTACAAAATCTGCAAGTGTTTGTGACAAGGATGTATCTTTGATTAATTGTAACACTGATACCTCGCATTATCGTACTACATCTGACAATACTCGAAATATATCTTTGTACGATAAAAATATGTCAAAAGTCGAGAATGAAATGATTCTGCGTGATGCAACTGGCGTTCAGAATACAAGGAGTAGTTGTAACATGTCGCAACCTGACAAGAGTTCACAAGATGATGTTCCAAAAGGTTGCACAAAGAGTTTGCGACAGAAGGGGAAAGAAAATGCAAGTTTACTGTTGAAAAGAGCTATATCTAATAAAAATATAAGCGGGACAAGAACATGTAACTCTCAACATGTACAATCAGTTACCCGAGAGAAATTTTCTACAGGTAACAATGCAAATAGTATGCAAAAAGTAATTGTTCGAGACTTTAAAAAACAAAAAATGACAAAGTCGCAATCTGCACCAAGCATTACGAAAAAAACAAGGAATTCAATGATTGAAAGGAGAATTTTTAGTGCAAGACCTGCATCATCTTACCTTTACTCACCTGCATATAAGACTGTGGCAAAAAATAAAATATCTCCAATTAAAAAGATGGTATTACATAACATATCGGAATCTAAAATCAAAACATCTATGGGACAAAGAGTTTTTTGCAAGGTTAATGCAAAAACGAATGATGTAAATGAAAGACGTATCGTTACATCGGAAGTAGAACACTTGATTCAACCAGAGTACAATTCTGTTATGTGTACTATTAATAAGCTGAAAGAACTTGAACAGCAGAAGGTTGTCACAGATATCAACCTTGTGCCATATAAACTAAAGACTTTTCTAAATGGAAAGGTAAATTTTTATATATTTACATAAATTTGCCTTATATACTCATGTATATATACGTGCGCTTGCGCGCGTTTGTGTGTGAGTGAAAGTATTTGAAAGCGTCTCTTTTTTTTTTGTCATAGATTTCTGCGGCACTTGATTTTCCATTGGATGAGGCAATTTACAAAAACTTGATAGATTTGAGTATTGATGAGAAACAATTGCCACCAACCATTACACGAAGTAAGGATCCAGAACCACGGCAAAAAGATATAGTACCGAAACTTTCCGACTTTTTCGTACCTAAAGATACAAAGGAAATTTGTGAAGCTGTGCACGTTAAATCTCGGGCATCAAAAATTAATGATAATTGGAACGCTTTTAAAATTAGCGATAGAATCCTTGAATGGAAATATAATATAGATGATATAGATTAACACATCTTCCTATATAGTTTTGTTTGATAAAAATAATAAATTTTAAATTGCTGTAACATGGACAATAAAAAATTTGGAAGAATAAAGTCAACTGAATATAATTAAGACATACACAGAATACAGGGATAAATTACTTGAGATATATATATATATTTTTTTTAAACAAAATTAAATATAATTTTACCTAATTTACTGATTACATTTACAAATGGAATATTATTATTATAGTATATTGATGAATTACACTTCTTTTACTCATGAAATGATTATTGATTTTCCTTCAGAATCAAATTCCGATGGCATCGATACAGAATTGATACCATGGTATCTTCGTTGCAGATAAAGGTAGATACGGCATAGATTATAGTAAAGACATGTACCAGCCAGTATCATTCCAATTACAACTCCAGCTATGATTATCCTATTAAAATTTCGTTAGGTTTAATATATTTTAAGTATAATGCATTTTTTCTGAATGAAAATTTATATATAATACAACATATTTACACAGTGATCCATATGTCGTAGTCTTTGTAGCTGCAGCATACATTTTCGTCGCAACAATACTCTGACGATTCACATAAGCCCCATACGCAATAATGCGCAGTAGTCTGAAAATTATACAAAAAGCAAAGAAAATATATATATATATATATATATATATATATGTATATGAATTTAAATCAAACTTATGGATAAATGAGAGAAAATATGAATCGAGATGTAAAAATTTTCATGCACACACTACATTTATCCGACATCAATGTTGATAAGTAAACCTAGTAAAAATTGCAGATGTTATAGGTCATATTCTACTGCAAAAGCATAACATTTTTACAAACGTCTGTGATATCGGTAAAATACGAAAAAAATGATAACTGATGACACTAATGCGAAATACACAGATTACCGGTGAAATCGCGAAACTCCAGGTTAATATAATAAAGAATATATTGTTTGATAGATACTCCATTGTGCATCATAACCCTAAATTAATTTAAACCATGGACGTAGCATGTCCATGATTTGAACATGATCTGACGAGCCATATCGACGTATCCGACGATTATGCAGGATTCACATACCGGTGTGAACTGTGAAGCCAGCTGTCGGACTAACGATTTCAATAATTTCGAATATGCCATTTGTTTGCTAATTTTTGCATCTATTTTTATTTTGTTTGTATATTAATTATTTTGGGTAAAAATCGAAAATAAAATTTGGACAAGTTCTTGTTTGCGCCAGTCACTAGATTATT